ATGAAATGGTAGTCCAAGGCAACGTGTTTCATACGAGAATGAAATACCGGATTGGCACAAAGGTTGGTAGCCCCAACATTGTCGCAATAAATCACTGGTTGAGTGGGAGGATTGATGCCAAGTTCAGTTAGAAGAGAACAGATCCATCTAAGTTCAGAAGCTGTGGCAGCGACAGAGCGATACTCGGCTTCGGTTGAGGAGCGAGCGACAGTTCGTTGTTTCTTGGAGCTCCAAGAGACTGGATTGCTGCCGAAATATACAATGTAGGCACTGGTAGAAGTGAAGTCGTCTTTGTTACCAGCCCAGTCAGCATCCGAAAATGCATGTAGCGCGAGAGACGAGGGTCGACGAAGAGTAATGCCATGGTGTAAGGTCCCACAGAGGTAGCGAAGTAATCGCTTAACAGCAGTCCAATGTTCTGTCGTTGGTTTGTGCATGAATTGTGATAGTTTGTTGACCGTGTAGGCAATGTCTGGGCGAGTTAGGGAGAGATATTGGAGACTCCCAACAGTAGTGCGATATTCTGCAGGATCAGATAAGATGGTTCCTGTAAGTAAAGTGAGCAGACTTGTGGCCATAGGTGTATTTGCTGGTTTGGCGTCGATCATATTAGTCTTCCGGAGCAGATCAACAATGTACTGCCGTTGATTGAGAAACAAACCGTGAGCATGATATTGTACTTCAACACCCAGGAAATAATGAAGGTCGCCAAGGTCTTTTAGGGAGAAACGCTTGGCAAGTTGCTTAACAAAGTTTTGGACGGCATGATTGGTGTTGCCAGTGATAATGATGTCGTCCACATAAACAAGCAGGTAAATAACAACACCTTGAGTGTTGAAAATGAACAGGGACGCATCAGCGACAGAGTTTTGAAAACCTGATTGGATAAGAAATTGACGTAGTTCATGATACCAAGCACGAGGAGCTTGTTTGAGGCCGTAGATAGCCTTGCGAAGCTTACAGACATGGTGAGGATGGTCATGATCAAGAAAACCTGGTGGTTGAGACATAAATACATTCTCTGAAAGTGTGCCTTGGAGAAAGGCATTGTTGACATCCAGTTGACGAAGAGACCATCCTTTACTTACAGCAAGGCTGAGAACAAGGCGCACTGTGGTCGGTTTGATGACCGGACTGAAGGTTTCAGCATAGTCGACCCCAGGACGTTGATGAAATCCTTTGGCAACGAGACGTGCTTTGTACCTGTCAACAGAGCCGTCAGATAGATATTTAGTGCGAAAAATCCATCTGCATCCAACCACGTTTTGTGTAGGATGAGATGGAACTAGTTCCCATGTGCCATTACGAATGAGGGCGTCGAATTCAGCTGACATAGCTTGTCGCCACCTGGGGTCTTTTAACGCTTGAGACACAGTAGTGGGTTCAAGAGACTGTAGTTCGGTGTTGAGGTTAAGTTTTTGAATGGGTTTGTGGATGTTGTGTTTGGAGCGAGTAATGATACCTGAAGATGGTAACAAAGGTGGGTTTACAGGGGAGGGAGTATGGTCCGGGGTAGAGGATGAGGGTTGTGCGGGTGAAGTGATGTGAGATGGGTCTGATGCAGAGGTGGGACTGAGGGTTGATGATGTAGATGGAGTGTGAGACGAAGATGTTTGGGAGGTGGGTACAGCAGGTATTAGAGGTAAGGTTAGAGAGCACCACTCGGACTGAGTGGAGGAAGTGACCCGAGGAGCATTTAGATGAGATTTTGCAAAGGGAAAAATAGACTCTACAAAGCGGACATGACGGGAGGCGTAAAGACGCTGAGTAGACGTATCAAGGCAAAGATACGCACTCTGAGTGGAGGAATACCCAACAAAGAGACATGGAGTGGAACGAGGTTGAAGTTTATGTGTATTGTAAGGGCGGAGCCAGGGATAGCAAAGACAGCCAAAGCTCCTAAGTTTGGAGTAGTTGGGGACGGTGTTGAATAGTTTAAGAAATGGTGAGGCATTGTTGAGAGTTGGCGTAGGAAGACGGTTGATAAGATAAACAGCAGTTTTGACAGCAAAGGACCAATAGGAGAGTGGCATAGAGGCGTGAGCAAGGAGAGAAAGTGCAGTTTCAACAATATGGCGATGGCGGCGTTCGGAATAACCATTGTGTTCGGGAGTATGAGGAGGAGAGGTGAGATGAGAAATACCATTAATTGTGAAAAAGGAAGAGAGAGCCTGATATTCACCACCATTATCAGAATAAAGAGTTTTGATTTGACACTTGAAAAAGTTTTCCACTAAGGCCTTGAAGTGAACGAAGACCTCTCGAGTATCAGATTTACGTTGAAGAGGATATAGCCATATGTATTTTGTAAAATGATCAACAAAAATAACATAATATTTGAAATTGTCAATAGAATGAACAGGGGAAGTCCAAACATCTGTAAAGACAATCTCAAGAGGAGAGGAAGTGACTAAAGTGGAAACTGAAAATGGCAATTTATGACTTTTATTGCAAGAGCAAGAGTTACAATGAAAATCAAAATTAGATGGACGAGAGACATCCAAACTCAAAGATGAGACCATGTGTTTGAACGTTTGGAGGGACGGGTGACCAAGCCTGTGATGCCATGAAGGTAGCGTGGTCTTTATTGACGAGAAAATAAGAATCGGTGATGAGGAGGACGAGGTGGGCCACTCATAGACACCGTTCTTAGGTTGGCCTTGGAGAAGGAGTGATCCCGTTTGAATGTCCTTCACATGGAAAGAATTTGGTAAGAATTCAACAGAGACATTATTATTTTTGCAGAATTGAGAAATTGAAATCAAATTGCGTTTCATAGTAGGAACACAAAGAACATTAGATAGAGTGAAGGAATGAGAGGGAGTAGTGAGAGAAGTGGAACCCGTGTGAGTAATTGGAACGCCAGAGCCATCACCAATCATGATTTCATCCGGACCGTCATAGGGACTGTGAATGGCAAGGTTCTGAAGATCAGTTGTAACGTGATGAGTTGCACCACTATCAAACAGCCAAGACTCTGGTGAGGAAGATGTGGTTGCTAGAAGTGCTTGAGTAGGCGAAGGGGAAGGGGAACGGATGGGAGTGGATGTGTGTGGGCGAGGTGGTGGTGTTGCGTGAGGGAATTGTTGACGAAAAAGAGGGCATTGAGAGACAACATGGCCTTGAGTCCGGCACCACTGGCATTTTCCTAAAAAGGGACGGTTGGGTTTGGTAGCAGATTGGTGGTATGAATTAGGAGCTGGGTGCGGTGATGGAATAGTGGCTGGCCAGGATGGACGGTGGGTTGTGTGGCGTGGGTTGGAGCGGGTATTTGTGAGGTGGGCAGAGGCTGGTAAGGCTGGGGAGGGTGAGATATTGCGCAGGGAGAGCTCCTTGTGAATGAGCTTCTCATGGAGTTCATCAAAGGTAATCGGGGTGTCTCGGCTGTTGACTGCATCAATGACTGATTGGTAGGTGTCCTCAAGACCGTCCAAGACTTTCTCAATTAGATCTTCATGATCAAGCGGTTTCCCAAGTGTGGCAAGTTCATCAGCTTTGGTTTTGATGGCTTGCATATAATCAGTAACAGATTGTGACCCTTTGGAGATGCTCTTCAGGTTTTCTTTGAGCTGTTTGATATGGCCACGAGAGGGACGAGCGTAGGTGTTGGCGAGTGTCTTCCAAGCATCGTGAGATGTTGGGGATTGTGTGATGAGCGGCACAAGATTGGTTGAGATGGTGCCAACAAGAGCTCCAAACAAGAGTTTGTCTTGCCGTAGCCACGTCTGATATGCAGGATTGGGGGAAACGACATTGTTGATAGTGGTCGTGGCAGGAGGAGAAGGAAAGGAACCATCAATGAATTTGTGTAAATCATAACCAATGAGAATGGATTCAATCTGTGTTTTCCACGAGAGATAGTTGGTGGAGGTAAGTTTGATAGAATTATGAATGGTAATTAAGGTGAGAGGGAGATCTGGTTGTTGAGTGTTTGGAAGCAGAACTTGATTGTTTCCATTAGCCATTGTAAAAAAAAAATGATCTGAGTAGTGGGGAGGGTTGGTTGCAGAGGAAAAAAAAAAGGAAGAAAAAAAAAGTTTGGGATGAGAACCTGAATCTCGTAGGAGTTAGGCTCTAGATACCATAATAGATAATTAAGAAAAGGTAAGGTTGAGAAAGCATAAGTGTTCTGCTTGTTGTGAATATTTTTCAGATACTTTTCTATTGATTGATATGGTGTTTAAATACACAATACAGCCAAAACTATAGGCTGAGAAATCTCTTTAGTTACAACAATAAAGCTAATGTAGATCAATCCAAACAAAACTAACTACCATAAATCTAGGAACAACAATATCAGCAAATGTAAAAAATAGGAGATCTGTTATGGCTTCTTATCACTAACAAATATTCACCTAAATAGTAAATGCACACCAATATTTTTATTCTTCTCTCCATTGTTTTGTGACCGGACCGGCCCGGCGACCGGGACTCGGTCGACTCGGAGCCGAAACCTGTCCGGGTAGGCTATTTGGGCCGGGTAACATTGGACTCGGTCAAACCCGATCAAAATAAAAACTATGTTTATATAATGACATAGTAAATATTTATTGTGAATACAAAACATTTATTTTTTGTTACTTTTATCAGTTTATTTATCTTTATATGTCAAAAACAGTGTTTTGTGACTCGGACCGACTCGGCGGGTCGACCTGGGACCCGGTCGACCCGGAGACCGGAACCGGTCCGGGTGGGCTATTTGGACTGGCCAACAACGGACCCGGTCAAACCTGGTCAAAACTCGGTCGACCCGGCCTTGACCCGATCGACCCGGGACACTGACCCGACTGGGTCAACCCGGTTGACCCGGTCCTTATATTATTTTTTTTTTTGTTTTTTAATTTTCTTTTTCTTTTTAAAAAATAAAACTATGCATATATATTTATATGGTAAATATATACATATTATTACCACTTTAATCTACAAATTTTACATACAAAACATTTAATTTTGTTATTTTTATGTATATTTATATATCACAAAATACTCTATATATAATATTATAAATTTTAAAATTAATTATCCGATTCAACAATTGACTCGGT